AAAATAATATATATATATATATATATATATATATATATGAATTATATTAATAAAATTTTGCAAAGCTAGAAGGAAGACTCAAAAGGAATACAAATACGATTGGTTATATTCCAATATATTCTATTATCCTAATATATTTTCTAATACAATATTAATTCCTTTATATGTTTTTTAATAAAAATAAATATACATATTAGTCGAAAGTTTCAAATTTAGAAATTGGACTGTAATATATAATAATAAGCAAATTAGGCTACATACAATTCCGCACGAAAAAATTTAATTTTAAGTCTGTATTTGCGTCAATTTGTGACGATTGCAACCCAGTCTTATTTTTAATCGAAAAAAACGGATATTTTTATCTATAATGAAGATTTAACTTACCAATTATTATTTATAATATGTTCTATATTTTATATAAATTAATGAATATATTTTACATATATTTCTTTTTTCTTGAAATTATTCTTTTCCTGATTGTATTATATAATTATTGGTGCATCTTATATATGTATATGTATTTATTTAAATCGAATTTACATGTATAAAACCAGTACTTACATTATTATAATTTTTTATTCTATGTGTATTAGTATTTATAAGATTATGCGATATATATAATTTGAAAAATATTTGTAATTACAAAATATTATCATTGTAAATAAAATGAAGAATAAAATATTATTAAACAATTGTTGTTATATTTATATTATTTAAATACATATTTAAAGATTTTTATTTATACTAATAAATTCGTTAAAAAATAATTCTAACAAATAGTTAAATGAATCAATTTTCAAAATTCGCATAAGCATGGCACTTAAGACGTACATATGTCAAAAACTTTCATTTTAAAAAATAATAAAATGTTGTTGTAATTGCCCTATTTCAATTATTGAATATTAAATTATTCTACTATATCATTTATTTCTCTTAATTTATATTTACAACATATCTCGTTTTATTACTCGCAGTCTGTATTCGGCTAGTAATAAATTATAAATAGCTCACTGTTTAGAATATCACTTTGCAATTAAAAATCTAAACTAGCAAATTTCTATCGTGGTATAATTTCAATGTACTTTGTTTTATATATATGTAAGACACGAAGTATCGTTAACGTGTGTACAATTCCCGCTTTGATCTGATCAAATACCATCACACGTATGTGTAACATATACTATTATTTACAGAAATGCACACTAAAATTGTAAATCTTTGCCATAAATTCACTTTATATGAATAAACTAATCTATAAAATAATTTGTTTATTTTATAGTTTAATAAAGGCATTATATCGTTTATGCAAATCATTTTAGACAAAAAAAAAAATTACTAGAAGAAAAAATTTATAGCATTTACGTGATTTTAGGATGAAAAAAATTAATGCATACATACAAAAGAGTTTAACATTCATATTTTATGAATATAAAATTTGTAAATATTTGTTACGGAAATAGAATATAATTTATATTGCCTGATACATCCTAATGGATAAATAATGAAATACAAAGTTTTTGCAAAAACTTATAGTTTACCACAATTTAAGATTTAATCAAGAAATACTTTAATATCTTTTCCGAGATATTAATCGTTGAATAATTAAAAACTCATATTCTTTCTTTTAATTACAATATTATAGTTATATTCAATCATTCTTAACTAAAGCAAAACTGAGGGAACTAGTAGTCTTTTGTTTATTCTTTCTACGAAAGCAGAATACTATCTCATTAATTCCAGAGTTAAATATACATCGAATATAACTATCGCCTTATACTAATATTTACAATATTTCACAGTGTTTTTGATAGGATATAAAACTATAGTACTTTAAAAGAATGAACGCAAAAATAGAATTCTTATCTACTTTTCAATTGTGAAAGTATAAATTCTATATAAGAGGAGAAAGTTAATATTTTTTTTCTCTTTTAAGAATGTAATCATCTGTTGGCAAATATCATATTTGTCGTTCTAATTTTACAATAAGTGCAGCTCATTTCATACTGCATATCATCACAAAAAGATGTTATTCTACATTTGATGTAAAATTTTTTTGAATTTTCAGTTAATAGAAAATTTATAATGTTGACTAATTTGTACAATTTTACAAACCTCATTATATGAAATAAGATATCAATATTTTAATATCTATTGCAGTGCAATAAAATATTGATTAATGTAAAAAGATTAATTATTAAATATACTATAAATCAATCATGAAAGTTTGAAGATTTATGAAAACATGGTATAGTTTGAAGAAGTGAATAATTGTATACAAGCTAAACATCCATTAAACATACATGATCATATCGAAAATGCAAAATATGTTACATGCGATTTAGGAAGGCATACATTTTAAATTATGATTTTTAGCACTGTACGTAATAATATACACTACAAACACATTAATTTGATTTTAGTTCGTTATCAAATCTTATCATAATTGCACTGTAATAAAACAGAATAGTAAACGTAATTTCTTACGTATGAAAAACATTAATGAATAGAAACTTAAAAATTCAGCATCGCTATTTTTGGTGAAATCCGACATATATAAAAAAATTATTAATTATACACTAAGAATATGAATCAATTCATTTTTGCACAACCTCTCCTTAAAAAGACCATTCAATCATGGTAGAATTCTTTATCGTACAGTATTATCCGCTTAAGTATCGCAAGTTCGGGTTCGTGTTGCAACATTCCAGAGAGGTAGACATTTTTAAAAATTGCTTTCATCGCTTCGTTTTTTTTGTCGAGGTGTATCGAAGGCAAGAAACAACAAGAATGAAATACATTTTTTTGTCGCCGCTTAAAACCCGAAATAAAAGCTAATAATCTCATTAAAAAAGTTCTAGGAATTAATGAGAATAATTTTATAATATTTAAGCGGGGAAAAAATGCGACATTTAAGCGGACAATACTGTATTAAGTAAGCATCGGAATAAATTTTATACATAGGTACAAGTCACAAGTGGTACTACTAAATCACAGAATAAACTGTGTAAAGAATTTCGCATATAGCCATGTTTAAGGGAGCATAATGTATAATGCTCAGTCAGGTAAAACACAAGGCTCTATCGAAATTACAGCCGCTCAACAACACATTCAAGAACGGTAACAAGGAAGGAGCACTAGGAGTTAGCATTTGGTGGAGGTGGTCTTCTATCATAATCTCGTCTGTAATCTTTGTTTGGTCGCCAATCACTAGGATAACTATCTCCAGGATAACCTCGACCTCTAAAATGACTTGGTGGAATATCAGATGGAGGATAACCGCCGCCTCCACCTCCATATCCTCCTGGACCATATCCATAACTGGGTGGTCCTGATGGATATCTGTAATAATCACTGAACACAGATTTTGAATTTTTTGAACATTGATATGAACTTTATTTTCATACGGAATATTATTTATAACTTACCTTCGTTTGTCATTCATGTGCATACTCCGATCGCGATCTCGATCTCTGTCTCGATGATATCCACTAGACATTCGTCCATAAGAATCGAAACGATCACGTTTATGGTCTCCAAATCTACATAAATCATTTTAAATTAGATACTTTATTCTTATATCTATATAATCTATAATAATTCTATATCTTTCTTTATTATTTTATTATTATACCTTCCATCTCGTATATCTCTTCCATCACGAGATAACCAATGGTCATCATCTCTGCTTCCACTATAATGTCCGCTCATATTATAACCACCACTATCTCTTCTGATTCTTTCATCTTTACCTCCACTCATCCTATCCATATTTCTATCACTATGTGTTCTATCTCTATCTCTATCACGTTCTCTATCTCTTTTCATGTCTTTATGTTTTGATTCTTTTTCTTTGTGTCGTGGTGTATCTACACTATTAGTAGTACTTGAAGTAGAATTTGGAGTCGATGTAATAGGAGTAATAGTAATAGCACCAATAGTAACTGTAGATGTATTGCTAATACTGTTTACAGCAGATATAGTTGAGAGGTGTTTTTTACTTGGTGTATTACTACTATTCGAATTTTCTTCTATGTCTTCAACTCTTCGTTTTTGTAATCTACTTTCTTTAATAGTTTCTATTTGTTTATCGATATGTTTTTCCGAGTGCTTCTATAAAATTAGTTATATTAATAATAATGATATATATATATTGTTAAAATAAAAATAAATCATTATACCTTCACGTTATTTGAGTCCTCTTTTTTTTCTGGACTAGAAGTAGCACTTGTGTTACTTTCACCTCCTTTTTTCGTTGCGTGTTTATACAATTTGTAAAGTTTCTTTGCATCGAATTCTGTAAATTTAGACACAAAATACCATAAATTACTTCTCCATTCTTTAATTTGTTCAGGATCTCTATATTCTTCTAAGCAAGTATTAATTTGATTTCCAATTTGTACAAGACATTGTCTCGTGTGTGCGACTTGTTCCGCTTCACTTAAAGATTGATCGGGTCTATCTAAAGCTTTGAGTGCCTTCTTTACTGGTCTCATCTTTTCTTTACACTATATAATTAAAAATAAATTAGATTATTATTATATATTTACATACATATAAATGATATTAAAG